AATTCCGGTTTTATTGTATCATAACATTAATATGCACAGATTGAATAACGATGTTCCGATTTTGTATAAGTTTTACCGGTATTGAAATCATAATAATAACTTTCATCATCGTCATCAGAGAAACCACAGAAGCTCTCATTATCGTCTTCGTTGTTATCGTCAGAGAATTCATCATCATTCCCATTATCCTCATCGAAAACATTTACAGATTCTGACTCCTTTGAAATCGATTCAGCAAATATACTTACCTCGGCTTTAGATAAATTGGAAACATGAGATTCAGTAGATATACTTACCTTGGTCTTGGTTTCCGGTAAAGATTTAGAGGCAGTAGCATCCTCACTTCGTAAGACTTCCTCAATTATCTTATTTTCTGAATTGCTGGAGGGAGTGATTATATTACTTGTCTCTATTTCAGATGAGATTTTTCTGGGACCGCCGGTCTCGGAAATTTCAGTATTTTCGGACGAAAATTGATATTCCGCATTATCTGTATCAACGTTCTGACAAGAATAATTTATAATATCTTGAATTTGATCATTAGTAAGCTTTGAAATGGAATTCGCACTATATGATTTGATGTATTTGATTTTATCATGACCTATTTTTTCGAATAATATATAAATTTTCTCAGCTCTCTGAGTTTTTTTACGCAAGGCATCCCGTGATATTTCTGGAAGATATAAACCCAATTCTTGAGATCTTTTTTTACGGATAATAGAAAGCTGTTTTACAATGGAATCATACAGTAAGCTTCTTGCCTTCTTTTCACTAATTTTACCTCCGCTACTCACTATAATCTCATTATATTGAAGTCTAAAATCCTTTGCATAAAGAGACCAATATAAAATTTCTTCTTGATTAGCTCGATTTGCTTTATCTTCAGCATCGAAAGCTTTATTACATAATTGAGTTAGATGTTGCCATGCTTCGTCAATGTTAGATTCTCCGGAACCGCTGGTCTCTGAAATTTCACTCACATGGTTTTGAATTATTTGCGATTCTTGTAGAGACGGCTTTAGAGTAAATAATTCTTGGATCAACCCCTGTCCACCTTTTACACTCAAAGAAGATTTGGTATCCTGGGAAGTTATGATTTTCTCTTCCAATGATATAGTTTTTGCGGGAATAGGAGATGTGGAGATCTCTAATTCCTGTTGTATATCAGAATTGCCGGAAGCAGATACTATTTCGAGAGAAATGACACTTTGTGTCTCGTGGTTAGATATGATAGATTCCCCATTCTGTGTGACAATTTGTTCATGAACATCATTAGAATTTGAAGGTTTAACGGATATATTGGATGCAAGAGCATTATCAGTTGTATCGGATATAGGAGTATCATTAGAAATTTCCATTGCGGAAGAGTTAATATTAACCGGAGATTGTGAAACATTAGTAATACTTTTTTCTCCCTGCTCTAGCTTCGTGATTCTGGCTTCATGTCCTTCTATATCTTGTCTTAATTTAGCATTCTCATTTCTAAGTTCAGTATTCTCAGCCAAAAGCCTAGCGTTCTCTTGTTTCAAAAGATCTAGTTCGGATTTGGTATTTCCCATTGTTTTGTATAAGATACGAATATATTCAAATAAAAAAATTTGCGAGACCAGCGGTCCCGGAAAAATGCCAAGAAAAATTTAATTAACCATGATCGATACATTATATACCAACAATAAGCGAATCAAGGCTCGCTGATATATTTACATATGAAAATTCCTTTATTTAACTAATCATTACTGATATATTTATATGATATACAAGATATAGTGATACAGAAAATGAATCGTAATTAAAAACTCATTAGATGTGTTATTTCCTATACTGCGCTAGTAAGCCTCTTCTTGCGGGTTCCAAATCTATGAATTGAGAGATTAATAAATAATATATATTAATTTATAAACCTTGTCCACCTATAATAGACACTTACCAAGATGACTCCGCCGATGATTTTTTAATCTTGAGGAATTCCGGGGAGCTAATTTA